TGATCATTTATTCGAAGGACGACGGCAACTAGTTGGACACTTCCACAGGGGATGCTCCCTGGAGGGTGCACTGACCCCCTCATCGTTGAGTGGGAGCAGGGGCAGCTCCTCATGGTCGCCAAATGCAATTCGCTCTCCAAGGTGTTCGAGTCGAGGGACATTGGAGCAACGTGGACAGAGGCTGTCAGGACACTCACACGCGTGCAGCCCATGTTGTTACCAGACTCTTCGCGAACAGCTGAGGGAGTGGGGTCCCTCACCACTGCGACCATTGCTGGAAAGAAGGTCATGCTGTACACTCAGAAAGGGATTCCCCCTGGGGAGATGGTGGAAGCCACCGCTCTCTACCTTTGGGTCACTGACAGCAACCGCACGTTTCACCTCGGGCCCATTTCCATGGACACTGCAGAGAAGTGGACGTCTAACAACACCCTGCTGTACTCTAACAATGCGTTGCACCTTTTACAAGAGAGGGTCAGTACAACGACCAAAGGCGTGTCTCTTGCTCCCCTAACGGAGCAGCTGAAGACGATTACGTCCGTCTTGGAGACTTGGGAAAAACTGGACTCCTTCCTCTCCAACTCGTCTGTGCCCACGGCCGGTCTGGTTGGATTTTTGTCGGATGCATCGGGTGATGCAACTTGGAACGACGCGTACCGTTGCTTGAATGCAACTGTGAGGAATGCAACGAAGGTCGAAGATGGCTTTAAGTTCACAGGGTCAAAATCATACGCTGTGTGGCCTGTGAACATGCGGAAGTATCGCAGTGTGCACAGCTTTGTGAATTACGCGTTCACGCTTGTGGCGACGGTGACGATTCATGAGGTTCCGAAAGAGAGCGTTCCTCTGCTGGGCGCCGGCCTGGGCAGAAAGCAAAGCACGACGTTTGTAGGGCTCTCGTACACGACGCAGAAACGGTGGGGTACAGTCTTCAACGGCATGACAACAACACACAACAGCGCTTGGGAGCCGGGGAAGGAGTACAGAGTGGCGCTCATGCTGCAGGACAACAAGGGCTCTGTGTACGTGGACGGCGTGCTTGTGGGGAGCTCTGACACACTACCAACCCCTGAGTCACGGAGGCATGATATCTCTCACTTTTACTTTGGAGGCGGCAAGAACAGCAGTGTGACAGTGAAGAACGTCTTTTTGTACAACCACCCACTGAATGCCATGAAACTCAAAAAGGTTGACAGCTCCGATGCATCTGAGCAACGTCCAGGTAACAGCTCCAGTGCATTTGAGCAACGTCCAGGTAACAGCTCCAGTGCATTTGAACAACGTGCAGGTAACAGCTCCAGTGCATTTGAGGAACGTCCAGATAACAGCTCCAGTGCATTTGAGGAACGTCCAGATAACAGCTCCAGTGCATTTGAGGAACGTCCAGATAACAGCTCCAGTGCGTTTGAGCAATGTGCAGGTAACAGCTCCAGTGGCTCTGAGGAACGTGCAGGTGACAGCGCGACGCTTGCAGATGTGTCTTGGCTGCTCCTGCTGCCATTGGGGCTATGGGGCTTTGCGGCCCTGTGCTGAGTGGGCCCCGGTGGACGGGAGTTTGTGCTTCTACTGAGGACATCTCCGTTTCTCCACCAGCTTTTTAAACTAAATAAAGTTTTAGGTGAACACGTATTTTGTTTTATTTTATACCTCGTTTTTTTTTCTTATACCCAATAATTGCGCTCCTCTTTAGGCGCCATGATTGCGGTATCTTCATTGATTCATTCTATTCTTTTTTTGTTTTTTTATATTGTTCGCTTCTGGCAATGATTGGAGGCGAATCACCGTTTTTTCTGTGTTCATTTGTTCAGTGTTTTGTTGGTTTATTGTTTTACGGATGTGTTTTGTTTCGTTGGTTTGTTGGTTAGTTGTTTTCTTGGTTTGTTCTTGACGACTGCGTTGAGCCTGCATGTTTGTCTGGCAGTATGAGATGCTTCACTGCGCCCCTACACTGCTGTCACCGCGGGGGGACCGGGGCTCTCTCTTTTACGTCCTGTTTTTTGGTGGGTGTGGACGTGT